AGCCAGTCCTTGCACTTGCCAGGCAAGCACTTATTCTACTGAGCCATCTCCCCGGCCCCTTCCCACTCTTCACTGCATCCCTAATGTAATCTGCCAACAACAGCAGCAGCACAGACCACTAAAGTCACAGTCTGACAATCCTGGAACTTTCCGAATACACGATATGCTCTATAGTCAAAATGGTTTTCTGAAAGAGGCTTCAGTTTACTTCTTTTGTTAAGACTCGGAAAAGTAAGATTAGAAGGTGTCTTTCCAACTCTGAATTAGGGAACGCATGCAAAAGTTTCCTTTCTGATTTGTTGTTTTCTTGTTTTTCATTTTCCTACCATTTGGGCTTACAGACACCCATGATATTTGCCTTGAGTTGTTTTTCAAACAGGGCAGGGTGTAACCCATATTGTACCCATTCTCAACAGGCTTACTGATTTCATTTTGTAAGTAAAATCAACCCCTTCTGGAAAAGCCATTCTTATCAGCCCCGCTCTGCCTGATTGCTGCTTATAACCAGATCTGAATGATTAGGGTGCCAATCTGAAGACCCAAAGCTTCCACTGGATTCTGTCAGCCTCTAACATAGACATCAAGTGACAAGGTACACACAGCTCCAGGACACAAAATGGTGCACTGTACAATACTGCATTAAAATACCTGCCCTTCTTGAAAACTGTTTTGGTTGTTCTTTTTTTTTATTTATATATTTGGCTCGGGGTCTCACTACACAGCTTGGACTTATAGTGATCCTCCTGTTTTCAGCCTCCCCAGCGCTGGGATTACAGATATGTGCCACCACACTGGGACTCAGTTGCTGGCTCAGTGTGCCCAAGGGAGGAGCTGGCATGGCATGCAGTACCAGGGATTTAATCCCGGTCCCTGCACTTGCCAAAACAGGTGCTTAGTCTGCTGAGCTATCTCACTGGCCCTTGAAAACCACTTTGGATTTGCAATGAAAACTGTGCTTCTGTGTTAGGCTGTGGAGCCTGAGGAGGCACTTGCCTTTGGCTAGGTGCAGTTTCACATGGAAGGTGCATGCTGCTTTCATGCCCAATCCTTCCTATTCATGTTGTTGATCTCCTCAACGGCCTCAGCTTTATACTCTGCACGCAATCATGTTTTCCAGTGTATGTGAGTGAGCATAACATTCATGTAAAGTAGTTTGTGCTTGGGTGTTTTCAAAATACACTCTGGAATCTCTTCTGATTACTTGAATATTTGGCGAAATTTATGCAGGATTTCTTCTCTTGTCATTTCACCAAGACAGATCCTGCCATGGGTGCGACTCAGGGATCCAAAACAAACCTATCTTGTTTCAGATAAATGGGCTTGTAACTTACAGGGGCTGGATAGAGCAAAGAGCGAGTGTTTTCAGGAAGAGGCCTCACAAACTCGTACACAAAAATCCCTACAAGCAAGCTGTCAGGTGTTGTCGGTGATCTCGGGAAGAGCTCTAGTTAACAGCCTTGCCACAACCAAAGGAGGCTGGTGAAAAATACATTGAAGTACCAAAAGACGATGGTCAGTTGATTCCTTTGTACTGGACCTTGGTCTTTTCCCACCCAGAGGCCAGTGTTTTATTTCAAAGACCTTGTGAAGACAGGGTTCTACCAACAACAATTTTGACAAGTGCTGTATTTATTCCATGAGACGGTCATTAATCTATTCACCATATAATTCTATCTCTCCATCTCTGAGCACACAAAACCGTGAAACTCCAGGTCTGAACTCAGACACCTCTGTGGTTGGCTAGAGCCAGTGAGTTGGGCACAGAAATGACAAGTGTCACTTCAGAGCTAGGACATTTAAATTAGGGCTAGGCCCAAGCTTAGGTTTAAATACAAAGGCTCACCCTCAACCCCAAATTCGCCTAGACAGGCATAAGAGGGGGAGCTTCCCTGGGAGAGCAGCTACGTTTCCTGTAGGTAGAGTGGACCAGAGCTCTTTATAAGCTAGAGCAGGAATACAGACTAGCAAGGAAATGACAAAATTCGGGGCTACTTCAAGTTTTTTCACCCTGAAATTAGAGAACTATTTCATGCATAGAAAACAGTATACGGCATACATTATACAAACAATAAATAATGAAATAAATATTTATTTGGCTTTTATTCAGCTTAAAATTAGAGTTAGTATTCCTAGATTCTCTTTCCTGGCCACTCTTTGGCTCTCTCTCTCTCTCTCTCTCTCTCTCTCTCTCTCTCTCTCCCACTCCCCCTTTCTCTTTCTCTCTCTTCCTCTGCCTCTCTGCCTGTCTCTCTGTCCATTTGTCTCTCTCTGTCCATCTTTGTCTCTCTCTGTCCATCTCTGTCTCCCTTTCTCTGTCTGTCTCTGTCTCTCTTTCTCTGTTTCTCTTTCTCTCTCTCTTCCTCTGCCTCTCTCTGCCTCTCTGTCTCTCTCTGTCCAACTCTGTCTCCCTCTCTCTGTCTCTCTCTGTCCATCTCTGTCTCCCTCTCTCTGTCTCTCTCTCTCCATCTCTGTCTCCCTCTCTCTGTCTGTCTCTCTCTGTCTCTGTCTGTCTCTGTCTCTGTCTCTCTCTCTGTTCATCTCTGGTTCTCTCTCTGTCTCCCTCTCTGGCTCTCTCTCTCTCTCTCTCTCTCTCTCTCTCTCTCTCTCTCTCTCTCCCCATCCCTGAAAACCACCATTACAGGCTGTAGTTTTAAAATCATTAAAAAGTAGTTGATTTTCAAGAGGGTCACATTAAATTTCATAGTTTTCTCTCATATGAGAAACTAAAATAAAAACAAATAAATGAGAAATGATGGGAAACAAGAAAGCAGACATTTTGGAAATGGAGCAGGAGATCAGAGGATAGAGGAAGGAAGGGAAAGGGAGGGAAGGGGATGAAAACTGACCCAGGTGTATTATAGACATGCGTGGCCCCTCCCAAACAAAACAGCTGTTATGTATTGCCATCATACACTAATAAGAAAATTCTAAAAAGAGGCGCAGAGCTAGGGAGATATAGCTCAGTGGAATAAGTGCTTGCTTGGCAAGCACAAGGTCCTGAGTTTGATCCCTGGTACCACAAAAAATAAATAAACAAATAAAAATTAAAAAGGGGCTAAAGTCTACTGTTCTCTGCCCTGCCCAGAGCTGGAGTGAATTCTAAGCAGGATATTGTAAAACAGACATTTGCAACTACTTTGAAGATAACAATATGTAATATAATAACTATTGTTAATTTCCTGTCATCTTGTTTTGAAATTCTGTATCATTTTTTTCTTTTTTAAATTAAAAAGAGAAAGCTTCGCCCTTCCCCAAAGAAATCAATCCATCCTATGGAAGTAAGAGTGGACTGGTGGTTACTAAAAGCCAGGGACAATAAGGATAGGTATGGGAAAATGTTGATCAATGATACTAAGTTATAGTTAGAGAGGAGCCACGATGCCATGACACAGTAGGGAGAGCAGAGAATAGCAATCATGTACTGT